TTCGACAAAGGGGCTGATCTTGTCACTATGATCACCCACTCAGATGAATTCTCGGACTGTCCCAACATACCCAGGTTTTGACCCCCTCTAAGGATCTCACTGATTGGCATATCAAAGATAGCCCAATCTGACACCCAGTGCAATACCATAATCGAGTCTAGGGGTCAGGTGTAACGTTCCAGTTTTGTCCATCTATCTCCAAGGTCTAGGGCAATACTGGAATTTTGGTCCGGTTTAGAGTTTCAAGAAAACCCACATTGCATGTACCTCAGGTCTCACCCTAGCAGCTGAGACAAGCCACCCCAACCAACTTGGTGGTACATCAGTGTCAGCCTTGGTAGGATATATCTCCCCAGATCTATCCAACGACTGTGAAGATTCTAAACTAACACGAGTCTCGTTAAGTGTCCAGTTTAAGGGTATTACACAGAAACACACCACAATGACATGAATCAATTATGTACTTTATTCATTTACAATAAATGTCAAAGGGTACATCAATCTAATTGGAGCTAAGGGCATAACTGTCTAACAGATTGGTAGAGGTCATATGTTGGATGGTCTCTACATGCTAGAGAACAAAGCTAGTCTTGCGGTCACTAAGTCTACGAGTCATTCTAGTATGAGTCAAGTCTACTTATGGCATAGTTGTTTGGGTCATTTATCTTTTGAGTCACTAAAGGTCTTACTTCCAGATTTATTTAAATTAGTGTCAGTGTTTGAGTTCAAATGTCAAATTTGTCAGCTGAGCAAACATTGCAGAAATGACCCAAACAACTATGCCATATTGTTTGATATTTGAACTCAGACACTTGACATTTGATGTTTGGACTATGCCATATTTAAATCAGTGTCTGTATTGTTTATTCTGATGTTTTGGACCCTGCTACTTTACCATCTGAGCTTGGCTATAAATGTTTCATTACTTTTATTGATGACTATTCCAGATATACATGGGTGTACCCCATGTGGTCCAGGGATGATGTACCAAAGATTGTAAAAGATTTCCAACACATGATATTCTCCAAATTTCAAACAAAGGTCCAAATTTTCCACTCTGACAATGCCAAATAATACTTCCACAGTGATCCCACGGAGTTCTTTGCTTCATGTGGGTCTATCCACCGTAGCTCTTGTGCCAAAACTCCCCAATAAAATGGCGTTGCAAAAAGAAAAAACCACCATCTACTTAAAGTGTTACCGTTTGTGTGTTTGGTTGTCATTGTTTTGTTTAAAACTTGTCTCCTACCTATGGTAAACATGACCCTCGTGCTCTTCCTTGTATATTCTTGGGCTACCATTCTTATCAAAAGGGTTACCGTTGTTTCAACCCTGTTTCTCAAAAATACTATGTTTCTATGGTTGTGTCTTTCTTTGAGAGTGGTCCTTTCTTTCCTGTTTCTCCTCAGGGGGAGAATAAGGTGGAGGAGAAACAATTTCAAGTGCTAAAACCTCATCTTCCAATACAACCAGAGATTAACACCCACCTTTTACAACAGAACTATAAAGTGGGAAATCAACACCACTCCCAATCCCACCAGGTTGGGTTCCAAATCCCTAATCTCTTGTTCTAACTTCCAACAACCCCTTAGCTTCTCTTTCCACCACCAACCACTAAATGCAGCATTTTGGGGATTTCCACCAAAGAGCTTCCCCACAAGCAAGCACAAAGAATCCACTGAGATACACCTAAGTTATCTTCATTGGCTTCAATGAAGCCACCTGGTGCATCTTCAATTTATTTAAATACTGGACAACAACAAACATGGAGTGAAATGCCTGAGAATTTAATCCACCATTGAACATAACCCTTAGGCATCCAAATCTTTCAAAACAAAGAATCCTGACAATCCAAATGAATCTGACATCCATTGAAGAGCCTGAGTCTGCATCCATTATTCAGGATGTCCAGTGCCTTCATTTCCAACAAGAGAATGAATAGACAACTTCCTCCACCAAGACATCTGATTGTTGGTGTTCCCCAATAATGCCTGCTCAAAACCACCAAACCTTGAACCTAATCAAGCTTAGGGATCCCTTTTCTTTAAAGGTAAGATAGAGGATTTTATTAAAATAAAAAATAGGTACCTGTTGGTTGTCGAGATGACACCCCATTACAATCAAGCATACATAGTGCCCATCTACAGTTAAACAAACAGAAACACTTCATACAAGACTAAACTGATGCATATTCCAGGCTTGAATCTCAAGAATGTCCCAGAAATTCTCTGTAAAACCTGAATAACTAAATTGCTCAAACTCTTGAAGAGAGAGAATCCAATCAGTGACAAGTTTGCCAATTGAAGCCACAAGCTCATCAGTATTCCTTTCTTTTCCTTCAAATAACCTCCTATTTCTCTCCCCACACAGAGACTAACACACTGCAAAGGGGATACAGCTCCAAATTATTTTTTCTCTGTTTCCTCCTCTGCACTTTGGCCAGCCTGAGAAGAGTCCAGCTACTGATGATGGTTGGAAGATGGAAACCTCAAATAGGAAGAAATACAGTTTCCAAATGAAGTTTGCTAGTTGACAAGAGACAAATGGGTGGAAAGCAGTTTCTTCTTCAGATTTGAAAAGATAGCAGTAGCTGGCCATATTAAAGCCTCTGCTCTTCAGGTGATATAACCACCCAAGCAAACGATAGCCAAGGAAAGCCCGTCATTCTGTCCCAGCTTTGATATAACCACTATATTGATCTCCTCACCTGGCCTGATGCACAATTGAGTTCATCATCACATCATGAGATTCATCTAATGTTGCATTGAGATGAACAAAAGGGGTAATGCTGCTAAATTTTCAATACCAAGTAATTAAGAAATGATCCTAAGCTACAGTTCCATGATACATTAGTACATCTGACAATAAAGAAAAATACATTTTTGACAAATAATCAATATATAATAAAGATAAGAATGCATCATCTCACATCTATTTTTTCAGTTTCCCACTTAAACTGTAGTGATAGAATTATCTAGTCCACTAGAAAATTAGGCCATGACCAGTCATGGCTTTGATGAAAATATCTGCAAGTTAAAAGTCCATAGCCAAGTGAAAAACAGTGATGACACCAGCCTTAAACCAATCTTGAATAAAATGACAATTTTGCTTTTTTTGTTTGGTTCACTGGAGAAATAGTGGATTATATACCCAAACATGTATCAACTCCCAAAATAACCTTCCCCATCTTGCCTAGAGCAAAATATCACCAATACCTTACATAATCCATCATTTCCTGGGAACTACTCAACAAAAAATAAACAGGATGAAGTAAAGATAAAATTGAGATAATGAAGTGACAAATGTCCAGTAGAGTCAAAGAAACAGCTTGTTCAAATGGACCCATAGTTCACCAAACTGAGTTTCAGATGATTTAGCTAGGGAAGAGGTTAGTGAGGAAGGATTACATCAGGTGCCAGTCAATCTAGATTAGCCATGGAGGATTACATACTTGCTTTCAACTTTTTTCCACATAATGGTTTGCGAACTTTCCATTAGCTAAAACATAAAATGCACACAAGGAGTAATCTTCCATGTTCACTATAGAATGATGCCTTAAAAAGGAAATTCAAGCCAAACGATACACATATCACAATTAATGGAGTAATTATAAACTTCAAAACGGAGATGAAAAATGTTATTTTACAAGTAGAGCAATTTCCAGAATACCTACAAAGCAGAGACTTGAACTAATCAGAATGGACATTATGAAGTTTGGAATGTTTTGTGGATAGAATTTTTTTCATAAACAAAAAGGTTTTAGAGTTAATCGAGTCTTTCAATTATCTCAGCACATATCTGAATAAAATGGAACAATAGTCTAATAATTCTATACTAAAATTATGAATTTCAGCAACTTTAAGTTCTCAGGATGCCTGCATTTATTGAGAAGAGCATTTTCCTAATTTTGATGCAAGGAGGATTTTGATAACATATTTAACCTTAACACAGAGAAAATGTTCAAAAGGAATATTAGGCCAAATTCCAAGTAGAGAAGTAGATTAGCTACCAAGCATCACAATGTGCCCTTATATTGAACAAATCCACAAGGTAATTATGGAATGATACTCATAATTTATAAGTGTAAAGGACAAACATACGGGCAAGATTTTCCAATGGCCTCCAGCCCAGATGTTCCAATATTGTGACATCCATTGACTTCAAGACAAGTGAGCTCACAGCAGCCAGTGGCTATTGCTTCCAAACTCTTGTCGCTCAAAAAATAGCAATCACTTAGAATAAGATTTTTGAGCTTCTTACACCCCCTTCCAATAGCACAAAGACTCCTAAAAAATGCAGAATCTTAAATTTATAAGTATATCAAAGAAACTCAAGGTATCCTATTATAAACAGAATAAATCACATGAAATTAATTAGCTCAAAATCTCACTGACCTTACTAAGAGAGAATGTTACAGAAAATATCAGTTGCATTTTCTAAAAGTATTATGACATTTATAAGGGCAACAGTAAGTTGCAATATGATTCCAAGATATGTTTCATAAACACAGCAAAATGGGAGCCATTTCTGTGTTGGACACTCAAATAATTAGTGTAATTCCACATCTGATACCTAGCCAATATAGGGTCCAACCGTCCAAGTGATAAACTGCTAAACATACCATCCGTGGTGCTTCTACTTATTTTTTGCCTGTTTCCCATCAGTAATATTTATTGCCAAGTAAATGCAAAGTATCCATGATGCATACATAATAGAAATTTGTATACTCTCTCACAACAGAGAGGCACAAGCAAAGACAAGGCTAGCTGCAGCACCATTTAACATAGAAAATTAAAAGGTAAGAAACAACCTTACAACAGATCCAAAGCTCACAAATGGAGCAAAAAAGTACAAACAAAAATATCAACAAAAAGAAAAAAAAAATTGTTCAATGTCCTTGAACAAAGAGCTGATACAAGCCAAAAAAGATGGTATCAAAAAATATATATACAAATGAAAACCTTCCCTAGGAAACACCTAGTCCTCAGAATCCCACCATATCTCCAACACATATCCTAAACCTCTAGTCAGCACATTCATTGAACCAAAATAGCTGAGATGTAAATCAGTCCTTTAATATCAAGATTAAACTTAGTGATTAGCAGAATAAAACAGGTCTGAATAACTGTACAAGAGAAGAAGATGACGAAGGGAAGAGGTAAGAGAAGGAGTCGAATAATTCTCCATTCTCCTCTAACCCTATTTTATTAAGATCTAAAAAATTGATGATGACAAGAATGCCCTTAAGTGGGCGGCCAGCTTGGCAGTTACATAAAGAAAAATAAAACAAGAATAAATAACAGGCCCAGTAAGTGTGGCCCATCAACATAAAATAAAAGATATTACAAGAGAGGCTGTTAGGGCCCATTCGGCCCAGTCTCTTTACACTCCCCCTCAAGCTGAGCATAGATGTCAATCATGCCCAGCTTGCTTATATAGTGTGTCAATTTCCCCCTTGGAACTCCCTTGGTCAAGATATCAGCTAGTTGCTCTTTTGATGTGATGAATGGTAAACAAACTTCTCCTTAAGAGACTCTTTCCCTTATGAAATGCCTATCAACCTCAATGTGCTTAGTTCTGTCATGTTGAATAAGATTATGTGCAATGTTGATAGCAGCTTGGTTGTCACAATAGAGCATCACTGGTTTCTTGTAGTCCACCCCCAATTCCTCTAGAAGGGATCRTAGCCATAGTAATTCTGACACACCATGAGCCATTGCCCTGTATTCTGCTTCAGCTGAGGATCTAGCAACTACTGATTGTTTCTTACTCCTCCAAGACACAATATTCCCAGCAACCARAGCACAATAACCAGAGGTGGACCTTCTGTCATCAATACACCTTGCCCAATCTGCATCAGTAAAGGCTTCCAGCTTCATGTGACCATGCTTTGCAAATAGAATACCTTTCCCTAGAGTACCTTTCAAGTAGCAAGAACCCTTTCTGCAGCAGCTAGATGAGTATCTCTGGGAGAATATATAAATTGACTAATAACACTTACTGCATAGGAAATATCTGGCCAAGTCATGCAAAGGTATAACAACTTCCCAAGCAGTCTCTGAAACACTCCCTTATCAGACAAAGGTTCACCATTTGTGGCAGAAAGCTTATGATTAGGATCAATGGGAGTGGAGWTRGGTTTAGSKCCAWGTTTACCAGTTTCAGCAAGAAGATCAAGGACATATTTGCGCTGAGATATGAAGATACCATCCTTAGACCAAACAACTTCAATGCCCAAGAAATACCGAAGATCTCCCAAGTCTTTGATTTCAAATTCAGAGTTGAGAAATCCTTTTAGTTTACTGGCCTCTTCAATGTCATTACCYRTGACCACAATGTCATCAACATAAACAATCAAGAAGGTCACCAGAGAGTCATTTCTCTTCAAGAATAGTGTATGATTAGATTGTGTTTGAATGTAGCCAAAGGAGATAAGAGCAGCCCGAAATCTCTCAAACCAAGCCCGAGGAGATTGTTTGAGACCATAGATAGTTTGTGTAGTTTACACACCTTGCCTTTCATTAATTTCCCATACACTCCTGGAGGTAGAGACATATAGACCATAGATAGTTTTTTAACGTCAAACTGGTGTAGGGGCCAGTCAAAAGTAGCTGCTAGAGAAAGTAAAACCCTGACTGAAGTCATCTTAGCTACAGAAGCAAATGTCTCAAGATAGTCAATGCCATACATTTGGGTGTAGCCCTTAGCAACCAACCAAGCCTTGAACCTCTCAACAGAGCCATCAGAGTGATACTTAATGGTAAACACCCATTTACAACCCACTGGTTCCTTCCCTTCTGGCAAGTCCACAATATCCCAGGTATGGTTCTTATGCAATGCATCAAGTTCAGTCATCATAGCATCCCTCCATTCAGCTTGAGATAATGCTTCCAGTACAGACCTGGGTATCACATGGGAAGAAACAAATGCAAGAAAGTAGTAGTAGGAAGGGAGAGAAGATTGTAAGATAAGTGTTTGGAGATACAGTGGGTTGTACACTTCCACTTGCCCTTGCGAAGAGCAATAGGAAGGTCAAGGTCTGGGACAGTCAGAGATGGGTCAATAGAGGGCTGACCTGTTTCCTCAGGAATGATGGGAGTGGCAAGATGCTCTTCTCAAGGAGTGGAAACAACCTGCACATGTCTGAATCTCTGCCTTTGGTACCACCTATGGAGAGCAGGAGAAGAAGGTGGAGGAGGAGCAGGGATATCAGAGGTAGGTCCAGTGGAAGAGGTGGACACCCCATGATTGGACTCACAAGGGATGGGAAGAGGAACAGCTGGAGACATAGCAAAGGGCTCACCAGATTTCTCCCCCTCAGGAGGAATACAAAAGAAGGGAGTCAACTCGGCAAAGGTGACATCCCAAGATACAAAGCGGGTGCCGCGAACTGGATCAAAACAGCAATAACCCTTCTGTGTGGAAGCATATCCCAAAAACACACACTTATGAGCCTTAGGTTCAAACTTGTGCCTTTGGTGACTATGAATATGCACATAGCAAGTACATCCAAACACACGGAGAGGAAGAGAAAAGAGATCCTCATCC